TAAATCCCTGGAATCGAAATCAACAACCACATTCATCACTCATACAGCACTCATTCATAATCCTACCAGCAGACAAATCACAAGTCACACCCACCCACAACCACTCAAAATTGTTGCCAAATGGAAAAGGATTCCGCTGCTACCTCCACAACTGCCAAGGGTGCAGATGACCCGCCACCTCTAGCATTAGAGGACTGTCCAGTAGCCGCCTCCAAGCTCCAGGCCTCCCCCAAGGGGAAAGGAAGCAACTCTCCTCAGCAGCTGAACAATCTGAGTTCAACTCCTCGATCTCCAAAGTTCTCCGGTTCCTTAGGCTCCCTTGTTATACAGTCGGGGTCCACAATCTCCCAGCCACTCCGGGGCTTCCCTCTCAGGCGTCGACTCCCGCGGTTCGAGACCCTCAACGGTTCCCGCTGGGACGGCTCAGCTGTCGTGGCCGCTCCCTCTGCCGAAGCTGGGATGGATCTGTCGCCCCCTGACTCCGCGTCGTCTCGTTACCCAGCCACTCCCAGGGGCCCCGAGAGAGGGAGGAGACTCTCCTCCAACGCCCCCGCCGCCAGTGCCCAGAGGCCCACCGCCGCCGAGAAAGTTCCCACCGCCAAACGCGCAACCACCACCGCACCAACTCCTCGGCTCCGCCAAGATGGTCGCTGCACCACCCGAACTCCGGCCGTGCAACCCGTGCACACCTCGCCAGCACCGGGGACAGACTCACACCAGGTACTGGAACTCTAATTAACCAGGCCGGTTCGGGCCGCTCAGGTCTGCATTGGAGGGGGTGGTAGCCTAAGGGGCGATTTCGTGCCCCATGTGCGCACTCGGTTTCAGGTATGAACCCGGAATCGCTCAGCAGCATGTTCCCAGGCCAGCTAGTTGTTGTGAAGTTTCCCATTTCAATAGCAGGAGCGTGAGCACAACGCCTCCGCTAAGCTGCCATCTTAAAAGTGTAGTTATACCTCCTGTTCCAAAAGGAAGTCCCGAAGGACCATAGTTTTATTATTTATAGATCTGGCATTGCACAGCACCAATGTCGGAGGGGGGTTATCCATCCTAGCCCCACTGCCGACAACCTTCGGGATGGGGTGGCAGGCTGGAAGGGCGCCAAGCCGTTCTATTTCTCCGCCCCCTTCTGCCCTTCCAGGGGCAGTTCCCTCCCCCAACACCCCTGGAGCAGGCAAGGAACTCAACTGACTGCCCCCCCCCAGGCAACTCCCCCTGTGGCCACGGTATGCCCTGACATACAGCCAAGTTTGAGGCACGAAAAACCCAGGCAGAGTGGTTTGTTAAACAAATACTGTAACAAGTAAGTAAATAGTTGTAAGAATGAGGCAGAATGAATACAGGGCAAAACTCACTAAGAAAGAAGCTGGCCAGAAATCAACAAAGTTCCCTGATGCAACTACCTTACTTAGTCAGTACTCTGTTTCAGCCAAGACATGATCCCCTGGAGAAGGAAATGGCAACCCACTCCAGTATCTTTGCCAAGAAAACCCCATGGACAGTAACAAAAGGCTAAAAGATATGACACTGGAAGATGAGCCCCTCAGGTTGGAAGGTGTCCCAATATGCTACTGGGGAAGAGCAGAGGGCAAGTACAAGTAACCCCAGAAAGAGTGAAGTGGCTGGGCCAAAGTTTTGAAAGGACGCTCAGCTGTAGATGTGTCTGATGGTGAAAGGAAAGTCTGATGCTACAAAGAACAGTACTGCATGGGAACCTGGAATGTAAGATCTATGACTCAAGGTAAGCTTGACGTGGTCAAAAAGGAGATGGCAAGACTGAACATCGACATCTTGGGAATCAGTGAACTAAAGTGGACGGGAGCACTCACTGGAGAAGACCCTGATGCTGGGAAAGACTGAAGGTCAAAGAAGAAGGGGATGGCAAAGGATGAGATGGTTAGACAGTGTTATCGATGCAACAAACATGAAATTGAGCGAACTCCGGAGGAGGGCGGAAGACAGGAGGGCCTGGCGTGATGTGGTCCGTGGGGTCGCGAAGAGCTGGACTCGACTGTGCGACTCAACAACAATAACGGTTTCAATACCTGATCCCAGTTGGACACACTCACCCTACTGTGGGGTGAGGAATCAGCTCCCTCCAAGGCCAACCTTGTTGCCACCAAGCTTCCAGGGAGGAAACAATCAGCCTCCTCTGCGCAGGGGCCTTATATGCTCACTAGCAGAGCTCCGCCTCCTTGATAGTGATTGTCTCCCAGTCCAATCCTGAAGCTTGGAAGGAGGCTGGGAAATATAGGTCTATTGCAAGATTTACACAAGGCCTTAGGCCTTTGTGGAAGGGGGGATCCCTTGAGCCCGACAGACTGCTCACTCTTAGGCTTATAAACAAGCATGGCAGCTAGGATTGCCAACCTCCAGGTGGTGGCTGGAGATCTCCTGGGATTATAATGGATCTCCAGGTGACAGAGGTCAGTTCACCTGAAGAAAACAGCCGCTCTGGCATTATATCCCACTGAAGTCCCACCGCTCCCCAAATCCCATCCACTTCGGGCTCCACCCCCCAAACCCCCAGGTATTTCTCAACCCAGATCTAGCACCCCCTGGAATGAGATCCCATGAGATACGGACCCGGGGGCATGAGAGTGAAAAATAAAGTACCTGGAGTTAGCGGCACTGGACGCTGAAATGGGAATTTGAGGGCAGGGTAGCTAGAAGAGAAGGAGGCTTGCGGAACAGGGAAGGGGAGACAAATACGGGACTAATTCCCCATTCTTGTGGTTATTGTACTGAGCAAAAATTTTATCTGTCTAGATTTTTTTTCTTACTCATCCCTTGCTCCAGGGAGGACAGGGTGGCATAGATGCTTCTCCCTTCCCCGTTTTACCCTCAGATTACCTGACTGGAGGCCACCGGAGAGCTACATGGCAGAGTGAGTACCTGAACCCATCGCCCCAGTCCTGCTCTGACACTCCTAGTCTCATGGTCAACAATAATACAAAATTAATAATAAGCATTATTCAAAGGTTTAGCACATCTTTAACTCTGACCCCCCCAAAAACTAAGCCTAAGGGCTCCTACCTTTCTGTAATTCCACAAACTACATAAAACAGAATTGTTCAGGAACACATTTCTAGAATGGTCACAGGGCTATAACATAAAGAAATGGTTCATAAAGGCACTTTATAAATTGAAAGGACTGTATCACTCTATTGTATTGATCACTGAATGTATTATCCTGATGTCACTATATCATTTTCTATTGATGTAACACCATTTTTCTGCATTGTGCTTGCATTCTGCATGTCTAATATTCTTTGCTTGTTCAGATACCTATATTCCTTATTATTATTATTATTTATTCAATTTATGAATCGCTCACCCTGCTAGCAGGCTCTGGGCAATTTACAACCTTAAAAGCAATTAAAAATACAATCAATGTAAAATTATCACAGTAGATCAATAAATTAACCAATCTACGGCATCAGTTTAAACAGTGTAATTTGCTCAGTTTCAGTGAGACAGATGGATTATTAATAATAATAAATAAATAAATATTCAATAAAGATGTTATATTTCATCGAAGGACTTGCAAACACACATTTGTTTTCTAGCTTTTCCCTATGGAGTAACTGTGTATCCAACATTTACCTCATAACTGCACTTAATTGCATACAGAGCAGGATCCTATCCACAACAGTTGTAACAAAAGATGGCACTTGCCTACACTGCCTTGCAGAATGCACATTAGCAAACTGTGCAACACCGATGCGGGTGGGCAGTCATGTTGGTCTGAAGCAACCGAGTCCAGTGGCACCTTTAAGACCAACAGAGCTGGGCATAAACTTTCATGCACATGCACACTTATCCATAGCACTGTGCATGCACATGAAGGCTTATACCAAGAATTAAACTTTATTCAAAACTGACTATAATGGAATGACTCCAGAAGAATGCTTTCACAAAGGGAAAGACACTTTGGACAATGCTGGGGCATGCAGTACCTACTATCTGCTGTTGTGTGCATTACCCTATTATCTAATTTCTGCATCACTTAATATGCCACGTTTGCTTTGTTCCAGATTTTTACTTGGTTTTAATTTTCACATCCTAATCCTATTACATCACTTACTGGCTGTTCCATTGCACTGACTGTATCGATTTACACCGTGTCATCTGCCTTCGTTCTCACTGAGAAAAATGGACTGTAAATAAAGAAAACAAATAAACTAAAACGTCCTGTGCCAGCCACTCTTAATTCAAGGAGTAGCCCATGGCCTTTCAAGCCTTACTCTTAGGCAAAAACACTACGTGCAACGTTGGAACCAGACGGCGGGAGCGCAAATCTTCATTTTCCACAGTATTGCTGTGAAAAGCGTCCCCTGGGCTACCACGCAGCGAGAGGGCCAACCACTGTACCTCCCGTGTCCGATTCAGACATTACACTGTGACACGCAAAAGCTCCAACGCCGCGCACAGCTTTTCATGCAGCGAAATCCCACTGAGCTCGGCGGGGTTCCTCCCAACTCAGCACCACAGAGGTTCCCAAAGCGAAAACCCACAACGAACGACGCGCGTGTCTGGAAAGCAACATCTGTCGTCTGAAACCTCCTCGGGGCGGAGCTCCTCCTCCTGCATTTTTCATCGCCGGGAAGACTGAATGAACCCCCACCCCACCCTCTCCTCGGCACGCATGCGCGGCTCCTCCTCGCCTGGATGCCCGCCCCTTTCCCCACGCGCAGGCGCACAGCCTCCCCGGCGCTCACCTGAGAGCCCAGTCCGGGGGTGCCTCCGCCCGGTGCGGCCACCCGTCTTTTCTTCGCCGAGCTGCCGTTGCCGGGGCTCGAGGGACGCTTCTTACTTCGGGCTGACGCGGCTCCGGCGCCTGCACCGGGAAGGCCAGCTGGGGCTGGGGAAAGCGCCGGAGGAGAGGCGGCGGCAGCAGCGGCGGCGCTCGAGGCCGCCATTAGGGTCGGGGCGGGCGC